GTTTAAAGGACTTTCTCTAAACAGAAGGAAAGTAATAAAGGAAGGAATCTTGAAACAATGGGGAAGGAGGAAAGAACATTATTAGCAAAACTATGGATAAATACAGCAGAGTTTTCTTTTCCTCTTGAATATTCTAAACTATGTTTGATTGATCAAATGAAAATAACCCTATCTAATGAGGTTCTAAACACACATGGGGAAATATTAAAGAAAATTATGTTATGAATAGGGGAGAATAAGTGGGTATAAAGGGAAGCAATGTTTTTACATTTCATTCAAATTGGTGAAATGATATTACTAACAGATTTTTATGTGTATATAATGTAACAACTAGAGCAAACATTTTTTAAACTATCCAATAAGACACATCTAAAACACTATAGATAAATTGAAATATAATTCAAAAAAAATGTCAAATAACTCGCAGGATGTCAGAAGAAAAAACTCCAGGAACAAAGAACAGTGAGAACCAAAAAATAAAATCAAATAAAATGAAAGATTAAGCCCTAAAATATCAATGCCATTAGATGCAAATTATCTACATACACAAACTAGAGATTAATCTGCATATGCCAATAAAATGACAATTTAGACAAAAAGTATATTTGAAAATATGACTCAACTACAGCTGACTAAAAGAAACTCATTTCAAATATGGCACAGGCAACTTGAAAGGAAAAGGATGGGAAAAGATAGATCAGTCAACCATTAATCAAAGGAAACCATTAACGGCTATATTATATCAGGTAAACTAGACAGATTTCCAAAAGAAGGAAATTACCAGACAGAGAGAAACATTATATATTGATGAGAAGATAAATTACCAAGAAGACATAACAATGCTAAATGTGTATGCACCAACTAACAGAGCTGAAAAAAAGTGCAACAAAAATTGATAGAAATAAAAAGAAAAATAGACAAATCTAGAGAGAGTTATAGTTGGAGACTTCCATACACCTCTCTCCACAACTGGTGGAGCAATTCACTGGAAAATCAGCAAGGGTATCACCACCAAGCAGGATGCTCTCATAGCCAGATACACAACACTCCCCCCAACCACAGAAGAACACACATTTTTCTCCAAGTGCCCATGGAATATATATCAAGTAAGCCGGTATCTTTGGGGCATAAAATAGGCTTCAACAAATTTAATATAAAATAATTGAAATTATAAACTGCATGTTTTCTGACTACAGTGAAATAAAATTATAAATAAACAAAAAATGACACAGGAACATTTCTAAATATTTGGCAACTAAACAGGACACTTAATAATCTATGGGTCACAGAGAATGTCTCAAAGGATCAAACTTACATTAAATTGAATAGAAATAAAAACATAATGTCAAAATTTGGGGACACAGCCAAAGCACTGCTGAGAGGGAAATTTTTAGCACTAAGTACAAATATTAAAAAGAAAAAAAAGGAATAAATATCTCAAATCAATCATCTAAACTTCCACATGGAGAACCTAGAAAAAAAAAAGACAAATTAATCCAAAACAAGCAAAAGGAAGGAAATAATAAAGATAGAGAAATTTAATGAAATTTAATGAAATTTAAGATAGAAAAACAATAGAGAAAATCAATGAAACAAAGAGCTAGTTCTTTAAAAAAGATCAATAAAACTGACAAACAAAAAAAAATGGAGGACAACGTAACAGGCTAATTAGAAGTGGGCCATCCTGTATGATTGGCTAGGAGTGAATATTTGCTTTTCTCCAGTTGCTCCTGAATTGGATGACCCTCCAAAACATTACATTAAATGAAACAAGCCATGCACAAAAGACCACATATTCTATTATTCCATTTATGTAAAATATACAGAATAGGTAAATCCACTGTCAGAAAGCAGGTTGGTTGTTTCCAGGGGCGTGTGAGAGGCGAGATGGTGAGTAACTGCTTAGTGGGTATGTGGTTTCCTTTTTGGGGTGATAATGTTTTGAAACTAGATAGGGGTGGTGGTTGTGCAACATTGTGAATATACGAGATGCCATCTTAATTGCCCACTTTAAAAGAGTTAACTGTGTGGATATTAATCTCCATAAAACTATTATTTGAATTGGGATTGATAAAAATCTAAAAGTCAATGAATTCACTATTTAATTTCAGATTATTTTATCAGGTTTTGTATGTTCTGTTGCTTCTATCTGGAGAGAGAGTCAATGTACAAAGTCTCCTCAGCTTCAGGACAGACTGTGGTTGGAGCCCCAGCTGCAGAGTTTGGGTCCTGGGGACAGGTGCCTGTTCGGCACTGAGCCTCACAGCACAGAGGTAGGTGGCCGAGTCGCTGGGCCGAGCAGCTGCAATGTGGAGAGCGCTATGTCTTGACAATCTATCCAAAGAGGCCTTAATTCTCCCACTAGTTCGTTCTCTCTGATTCGCCTGAATTAGCAGCAGAGATGTGAGCCTCTCCCAGGGTCTTGTCTAAACCGCTGAAGGGAGTAAAGGGCACTGTCGGTGTAAGTGCAGTTGAGAACCAGGCTGCCTCCCTCTCGGACGGTCAGGACTTCAGAGCTCTGACTCACATGCTGTTTACTGCTCACCCCTGTTCAGAAAGAGAACACACAGAGAGAGATTGGTTAGTGGCAAATTGATCTTTGGAAATTATTTTTAAATTCACTTTTTCACTCTCCACAGAGACTCCCAGAAAACCATGCAGGTACAACCCCTTGTATTTCTCTCTCTTCCCTTGGGAAGAATGTCCCGAAATCTGCCGGCTCTTTGCCCACTTTGGATTGAACTCACAGTCTAGTTGTAACCAAAGGATGAGCAGGCTCAGGGACTTGTCCATTCTTTCTGTCCCTTAGACTCACTGAGAACTGAACTCTTGTGTCTGTAATACTGACAAGGTCTCACACAATAAAAGATCTGCCTTGCTGTCTCTTATGTTCAAACATTTCTGCAGGAAACCCAACTAATCAGAGACAAATCACATAGGCTCACAGGCGGG